TTTGTGTATGAAACTTTCAACGAAGTTTCTTGATTTTCTTCTAGAGAGATTATTATAAATTCTTTTGCTTAGCAACAAAGAAAAGAGGCACAGATGGAATCATCACTTGCCCACTCATTTATGCATTTGTGTCAAACCCACAGGAATAAAAATAGGGGGAAGGGCACCCATATTGAATGTACAAAGAACAAAAAAAAAAAGATATCACAAGTATTTTTAAATGCAAGGTCACAATACCTTCGGCAGTTGGGAATTAAATAAAGAGCATATTTGAAGTAGATCCAGCTCTTAAATTCTTATTAAATGAATGCATGGAGCAAATGAGGCCATACTGGCTAACTGGATAACATACTCCCACTGCTTACTCTACATAGGCAGAGGTTTCTCGGGTACCCTGGGGATGTGTAAAAGATTGGCACTTGAAACAACCTGCATTTCTGAACGCGGTCATTATCGCTTACATTCAAATTAAGTATTTACACTGTCAGATGGAGGGGTCGGGGTGGATGTGCAGAGTTCCTCCTTCCAAAAACTGAAAGCAACATATATTCTATAATAATGTGCAAAGGAAAGGACACCAATTTCATAACATGCTGGGGGAAAATAAGATGACATTCTGACTCATAACTTAGTTAATTAATATCTGAAGACAACTATCATGTTTTGACAATGTACAGATTGCCTTTGTTCTCCCAATAATTTTGCTGTCTCATTTGGCTTTCTAGTGAAATGAAGCAAATTGGATACGAAATTGTTTTCACATATAGGATATAACATAACCACTATTATGAAAGTGTGGACGGTTCTACTCCTCTGACATCTGATGATTTTCAAGGGCTATTTTCTGTCCCTTCATTCCAGTGCTCTCTCCTCTGCTTCAGTGCACAAACTACTACTTTTGGTCACTATCTATGGGCCTTTATTCCCTTCACCCTCAGGAAAGATAAAAAAGGCTCCTTGGTTTTCAGAGGTCTCTCCGACTACGTACTGAATGTAATACAGCTTCATGAATCTTTATTTCACTGTGTCCAGCCTATTTTTCAGAAGGCTGAAAACAGATGTGCTCACATGTGGTTTTAATCTAGTTCACGCCGCTCTGTTTCTAAACAATAAGTACCAATTTCACAGGCGAGAAAAAACACAAACAACAGCAAGATACAATATTCCCCGAATAATCATGTGAACATCAACCACGGTGAAGGCTTCTCTTTCCAGATGAAGGAATATTTGCTAAGCCTCATACTGCAGCACAAGTTGCCAGCTGCGAGATCAAAATTCAAACTGGGTCTGGAGCTTGGGCTCTTAGCTTATGAGACTGGGTGTGCAGGGAAGAGAATGAAATCGTCGCTGGGGAGGAGCTTCTACGAACTGCCACTGGCTTTGCTTATGGAGAAGGCAATCCACAATTTCGCTGATAAAAATAGCATGCAGACATGCCAGCTGATCAGAGCCAGGACATGGAGATAACATAGAGGCAGGACCCTTTTCCTCCCAAAGAGCTAAACTTCTGTACAGGGACAAAACGATAGGAGCCTTGAAATTCTTAGAAAAACTATTTCTAAATAAACGGTAAAAAACCTAATATAAAGTATGAAATGAAGGCTAGGGACTCCTTTTGCACATCTGGTAAAATGTTAAAAAAGATAAAAGGTTTCAACAAGCCAGTTGCAATCGACAACACATTCATACAGAAACTCATAAACCATATTTGAAGGCTCCTGGGCATGTTGAAGCATTCTGCATCTGATGGTGGCAAAAATAAAAAATGTAAACCCCACTACATTAAGGAGTTTGTTTTCCCCAGAACGAGAAGGCAAATGCAGTTTTCTGTTTGTTTTTAAGTTAAACAAGATAGCCACACCAATTAACTCAACTTGTAGTTCTTGTACCAAATTTAGGTTTTACTATTTAAATACATACATACAAATTGCACAAACGAAAAATAAAAATAAATGAGGCCAATCATAATATATTTTATGAAATTATTTTTAAGAGAAATAAACTCAAATATAAAATTTGCCTCCACATGATGGAGTCTTTTTAAAACAACTCTCAAATTAATTCTCTTAAGTGAATTTTTATACTTTTTCTGCGAGGCATGTCATTTTCTACTAGTCTCATAGAATTAATGCCCGGTTTCTGTTTTCTCTGTTTCTAAGGAAGCAGAGCACATGGAGAGGCTGTTTATTTTCAAAATGGATAGTCAGGTTGTATCTACTTCTTTTAAAAGAACAATGTGTTATTTTTTTTTAAAGATATTCAACTTTTATTATCACCTTTAAACAAAATCTCACAAAACAAGCAGAGCCGCAAGCATAGTTTTCTCAACAGGTATCTAAATCAATAGAGAGAGCTTGACGAGAAATAAAGTATTTCCTTGAGAAAGCTACATTTGGTAGTGATAGACTGCAGTGATAGAAAGTTCATCATCTTGGTTAATAAACACACGTGTTAAGTGTAACTATCATCTGGCATTTTAGGACCATAAACTCATCTGTGAATTCTTTATTGCTCTTTGAAGGAAACAATACACAAAGTTCACTGAAGATACTTAAGTCACCTTGGCTCTTCAACTTAAATGGAAACTGGCTTGCTCATTTGATAGGCATGAGAACAGACTTAATAGATGTTTAGTAAGGACCGATACATTTATTGAGTGCCTCCTATGAACCAGGCAGCATGCTGGACTTCATAGATACATCATATCATAATCCTCATGCACTGAGGTAGCAAATGGCCATTTCCATCCAGATCTATCTGTCTCTGTTCTGTCACACTTCCTCTTACAGATCACAGTTGAACAAAACCTCTACGTTCCCAGAAAAGGCCAATCAGATTTCATTGTTTCTGTCGTCAGACCTAACTTTTGATTATCCCTACAGAATCAGCTAAAGAAACTTAATTTAGGTAAAAATTGGTTAGAAGATATTTTTAAAAAGGAATACAGAATAAAGGCAGAACTTTACACAAGAATTCAACAATGAGAACAACTAAACCTGGGAGAGATGTCCTGGCAGTATCTGATAAACCAGGAAAATGCCACTGTTAATTCTATTAGAACAATGTATACAGACTCTGTTTTTACTTTTATTGTTGACAGTATTACAAATGTCCCCCAACTCTTTTATCTAACCTAAATGCTAGTTACAGGCTTGCTTCTTAGAGCATCAGAATACACTGTTTTTATCTGCTGCTGTTTGTAAACTGTGTGTTCTGTAATAAAAGAATAGGTACTTATTATGAAAAGGAGTTCTAATTATTTATTATCCCTAGTATCTAGTATCTAAGAGGCTCTCCAAAAAAAAAAAAAAAAAAATGTTGAAGGAATCAAATACATTAAGAATAAACAAATGTCCTTTAACTACTTTTTTTCTGTACTTGATTTTTAATTTTGAAGTAATTAGAGATTTGCAGGAAGTTGCAAAAAATAGAGCAGAGAGATCCCATGGACCCTTTATCTAGCGTGGCTCAACGTGACATATTTAACCGTAGTGCAACGCCAGGGAATGACATTGTTACAATTGCAGACCTTATTCCAGGTTTCTCCTTTAGCTACTTTTTTAAAGTGTGCAAGTTTTTCTGGTCCAGAAAAGACCTCAGACTGTCCACATTTTTCTGATGAGAAAATGAGAAGGGTCAAAGAGACTGAAGGACTATTCAAAGTAGGAGTGCTAAGAAGTGGCAAACTAACGCCGATTCTGAGTGAGGGACCATCTTTCCTCAGAAACAGCAGGATCAGGTTAGTCATTTATCAGAATTGCACAAGGACATCAGTAAAGACCTTCAAAATTATCTTCTTTCAAAGTTACCTCATCAGATGGATACATTTCTTTCGTATATTATTTCTCATCTCTCCAGACTTCAAAAAGCTTTACTCATTAAAACATTTAGCATTTTTCATTTGTTGAAAAATACTTTGTTTTACTGCATCAGTAATATGATAAATCAAACAAAAAAACCTGGGCCAGGTTGGTCACCACTTGAAGCAACAGGCTGCCTTGCCACCTCTGACCCCAGTCAGTGCAAGCTGCGCTTGGCACAAAGCAGGCTCAGAAACACTGAATGAATGAATGAGTTAATGAATGAACAAATGAACAAACAAACAACTGAAGTGGGATGACCAAATATCCCAAACAACCTAAATTTTTTTGAAGTGCTTTCAAGTAAAATATATTTTTGTGAAAAATAAAGTATTTTATTTTGTGGGATAGTTTTCACAAAATCAGAGCCGAAAGGGCGCTTAGAAAACATATATTCTGGTCATTCTCAACCCTGGCTACAGGTGAGCATCAACTGGACATTAAGAAATAACATGTCAAACCCCACTCTCACATGGGCTGGGGCCCAGGCATCTGTATATTATTTTTAAAGCTCCCCATTAAAAATTCCTTATTGTAAGGGTGATTCGAAATCCCTTGTTATAAAGATGAAATTGAGGCCTACTTAAACTCAACTGTCTTATTCAAGATAACACAGATTGTTACAAATAGAATTGAGACCAGAATCCAAGTAGGAATAGCACAATTTTTTTTTTTAACATAATACACAGGAAATATTTCAAGAACAAAACATCATTTTAACTTTGAAACTGTTGGCCACTTTTAACAGTGTGAAACTATGCTAAAAATGTCTATCAGCATTGAACTCTTCCTAGTGTAGAGTCACTGTCATGGGGCAGTGGGGTAGGCAGACGTGTGGGTTTAAGGCACTGAGCAGTTTTTGCCTGAGATATAAAGGAAATGAGGTGTACGGGTCAAGTCTTTCCAGTTTACTGCCCACTCTAAGCAATTAATACTCTGGTAGTTTCTTAATTAACACCAGATGGGCCTATAGTTGGTGGCTATCAAATATTTAACAAAAGTCCAACATGCATAAAAATGACAGGGACCTGACTAGATATAAAATATGAATCCAAAATATTTGCCATATTGTTCATCAGATTATATAGATCGTACAAACTTTTTACTATTAAAATCAAATAGTTATGTTTTAAAATTTACCTTTAATCGAATCATTTTCAGCTCTCATTATGTCAATGAGTGAACTCTCCAGGGAGTGCATGTCGAATGTCCTGGGACGATCCTGTAACACAAAGAGCCACAAACCACTTTTTAAAAAAGCGTTTAATTATAAAAGAGGACAATAAGCTGCACAGGACTGGGACACAGATCAAAAAGTGGCAATTTTACTCCCTCTCTGTGCAACATACATTATTGCTGCATTTGATTTTGAACACTTACAAAACATCAAAACCACAAAAGTACCTCAGGCTCAGCAAAGAGTGATTTGATGTCTAATAATAATTTCAATAGAAGTGTTACTTTTGCTAATAAAGCAGAAACAATTAAAACTAGTTAAGAACATTCAAGAAATGTAAAAATAAAATTTGTAGTCTTTTTCTGCCGCTTAAGATCTAATACTGTGGCAAAGCTTCCCAACCTGATTTCGACAATTACTGACTACAGTGGCATTTACACACGTTATCTGGAATAGCCCTATTTTCTTAGCTTAGCTTGATAGGTAAAAAGTAGGAGATGAAATCATTTTCAAATAAAACGCTGAAAGGAGGCAGTGACACACTCTTCTGACTCACCTTACGCAGAAGCACACACGCACGCACGCACACTCGCACACACAGACCACAGCTAGAGTAGTAAAGTAAAAGGAATTTGACAAGCAGGATTCTATAACCTTCTCTTCAGTGATATTTTCTCTTACATGACTTAAAAAAAAATTTTTTTCTTTATTGATTTTAGAGAGAGAAGAAGGGAGGAGAGGGGGAGAGAGACATCGATGAGAGACCACATCGATTGGCCGCCTCCTGGGCATGTGCCCTGACCGGGAATTAAACCAGTGACCTCTTGGTGCATGGGTTGACATTCAACCACTGAGCCACACCAGCCAGGCTAAATTTTTAACTAAAAAATCTTCAGATGCAATGTGTTGAGAAGGATTTTTCAGCTCTGTATGAATTCAGAAAGAAACAGTCACAGCAGATTGCCTTGCTGACTAAAAGCAAGGGACAAGACCCGAAGGCACTAGGACCACATCCATGCCGTCACTGGCCTAACATGTACTCCTCCTCACAACCCACCCTTCTGACCAATTATAACTGTGATACCTTACACTTGTCTAACATTTTACTTCTCATCATGCTTTGGCAATTCAAAGAGTTCAAAAGCCACATATTTTGTCAAGCGTTCAGTTCTCAGAGAGAGTCTAAAGTTCATTCTTCTTAATTTATACCCTCGAGCTGATCTTTTCTGTCCACTTTTAAAAATAATTTTTCTCTTTATTGACTTGAGAGAGAGAGGGAGGGAGAGAGATAGAAGCATTGATGAAAGAGAACATCAACTGGCCGCCACCTACATGCCCCCCACTGGGGATCGGGCCACAACCTGGGCATGTGCCCTGACCGGGAATTGAACCAGTGACTTCTTGGAGCATGGGTGTGACGCTCAACCACTGAACCACACCAGCAGGGCTTTTCTGTCCATTTTTAACCTCTAATTTAAAATAACTAAAATGTAAGTATCTGTGCCATTAGAAAGTAGGTGGAGTAGACACTAATAATAAAACCCAAAGAATAAGAACAGCACCAAGATGGTTTTCCACCCAACAACTAAAATGCCAAACCAAGAGAATTTTGATTTTGCCTTTTTTATTGTGAGTTGGGCCAAATATCATAATCACTGACCTATTTTCTAGGATCTACTTCCCAGAAAGTAAACAACTATCATATAGAAGCCTTACTAGGCGATAGCTCTTCTTGACTTATCTTGAGCTGATGGCCAAAACCTGAACATCAGCATGAATCAATGGAGTGAGCTCAGACCCTAGGAAGCCCCACCACCACCGTGTGTCATGTGGACGTGGGCACTTCCGTCCTCTAGATCTCGTCCCTGATGTGGAAAAGGAAAGCGTTTGATTAGATCTCTAATGTTCCCTTCCTAGCGCCAAAATCCATTCATGTTCCAGTTTTCCAGTGCCCTTAGTTTGTGTTCTTCCAAGACTCACAGTTTAAATTATGATGGTGATTATGGCAGGAACCACAAATGTGAATGAGAATTACTAATCAAAGTTTATCACTTTTGCCCACAAAAAGGTGGAGGTCAGTGACAGATTAATGTCAAATAAAAAGCTTCAAAAAAAATCTACTTAAAACAATTCATTGAGGCATATGTCCTGATTCCAAAAAAAGGGTCAAAGAATCTATTATGAAACAAAAAACACCAGCATCTGTATCTGCTTCACCATTGCCAGTTTCTCCAGGCAGCCTACAGAGAGAAAAGGCAGAAAAGCAGAACTACCCTTTATTGAGTATCTACTAAGTGCTTACCTTATTCTAGGTACTCTATAATATTGTCTTTTTTTTTTTTTTTTTTTTTTATCCTCACCCGAGGACATTTTTCCATTTTTTGTACAGATAGAGTGGGAGGGAGAGAGAGGAAGGGAGAGAGAGAGAAACATCGACGTGAAGGGACACATCGAGTGGCTGCCACCCGCACGACCAACCAGGGCCGGGGACAAACTGCAACTGAAGTACGTGCCCTTAGCAGGAACCAAACCCAGGTCTCTCCGGACCGCAGGCCGACGCTCTAACCGCTGAGCCAAACCGGCCAGGGCAATATTGTCTTAATTAATCCTCAAACCTTGTAACTTAGGTTATATTATTCTCAGTTTAATGATAAAGACTCAGACTAAGGAAAAGCCACAGTTTACTGCACAGACAGGTCACTGCATAGTTCAAGTTTGGTCAGGATTCAAGTCCAAGTCTCACTCCAAAGCAATGCTTCCTTGGACAAGGTAACGGTTATGGCAGGCAAAGGACCACACTAAAGCATGTATCTGAATGAGTGAGACACTCTGCTGTGAGGGTCCAGGGGGCAGGAATGTGCTGGCTAGTGCCCGACAAACAGTAGGCACTCAAATAGTACTCATTAAACAAAAGAACAAAATGTATAAATAAGAGTAATATAGGTTGATATCAGAGATACTAAAAACATAAGAAGAAGAGAAGCCTTCTCCTCCTTCTCCCTGTAGAGATGACAGACCGATGTGGTGCACAAATTAGTGACCAATCACAAATGTACCTCTAGGTTATCTACTGCCAACCACAGGAACAGAAGTAGTAGTAATAGTAATAATAATAATAATAATAATAATAACAATAATAATAATATCAGCAGCTCGCATTTATTTAACTCTAAGGCTTTACATGTATAGTCTTATTTATTACTCACAAAAAATCCTATACAATCAGGCATGTTCAGTTATTATACCATTTCACAGATAAAGAAACTGAAGCTTAGAGTGGTTAATAACTTTATCAATATTGGATAAAAGTGGAAGCAGAATCTGTAGGAGGAACCAGCCTTGAGACGCTAGGACATGTAGCTTAACATGCATGAATAAAAATAATAGATCACCAATTATTTTCAAGGTTCAGCAAAGCAAACTTGGTTCCCATGCTTAGATCTCATTTTATTTTGTAATCTTAATTGTTATATTTAATACACTGAGTTGCATGTCAGTAACTGGTTTCAGTTTCTGTCATCTCTACCTCATAGGGCAATTCCTAAAAGAAAAATCCCACAAGTCATTAAGAAAATCAAAGTTGATAAAAATAACTTTCTGAAAAAACAAATTAGTATTTTAAAGAGCAGGCAGGACTGGTCCTTTTATTATATACACCTGAACAGTCTTGTCACGCAAAACAGGAAGAGCAGCCACATCAACACGTAACTGATGACATGACACGGCTTTTCACAACATTCCAGAAGTAGCCACAAGAAGCACATGAACCACTTGGTCTATTACTAGAAGGAACAACTAGATTCAATTAGGCCACAAACCAAAATCATTATTCGTGGTTTGGGGTTTTGTTGTTGTTGTTAACGTTCAGATGGATAATCTAAGCCAGTGTTGTTCATACTTGAGAGAACATCAGAATCATCTGGAGGTCTTGTTGAAACATGGATTACTGGGTCCACCCCCAGAGTTTCTCTTTCAGTAGCTCTGGGTAAGGTCCACAAATCCACGTTTCTAACAAGTGTTCAAGTGAAGCTGAGGACCACCACACTTTGCAGACCACTGAGGTAAGCAATTCCATTCGACAGGTTAACTTCATTAGGTACATGGAGGTGTGCTATGTAGCTTACATCCTGGCTGACCAGTCATGACATAATCGAGCTTAAATATTCCACACAAACCATTTTCAGGTTTCCTCATGAAGAGTAGTGCATTCTTTGCTCCCAAAACCCAAAAATCCACGTTCTAAAGTCATAACTTGGAAAAATATTACAATCAAGTTCAAGTCAACAAATCAACCACCATGACCATTCTATTACTGGCTCTTTCCTTTCACACTTGAGTTAATGTGCTTCAGCATCTAGACTGGGTCTAAAACACAAAGTGTAATGAACTGCATATAGCCACATCATTAAAAACCAAAGCCAAAATTCTGCTACTTCCTTGACTCATTCTATTCTTATAAAGACAGACATCACTGTGATTGACACGCCTCAGACTGCTATGCATCTGTACCAGCCTATGGAAGTTTCTCTTTCTGGCTTACATTTTCCCTGGTGAAGAAGGGAAAGGAAAATATTTTGTTTTGAAAGTAAAGTCTATGCCAGCATGTCAAAGAGGTGCTAAATCAATAGGAAGTCTGAGAGGCCGGTAGAGCCTATAATTAATCAAAGGTAACTTGACGAATTTTAATCCAAGATTTTCCAAACTGTAAATATTCTTCTTGGATTAAATATTTAAGCCCACAGACATCAAAAGTTGATGATATGGTCCTGGCCAGGTGGCCCAGTTTGTTGGAGCGTCGCCCTGTACATCAAAAGGTGGCCGGCTGGATTCCCAGTCAGGGCACAAGCCCAGGTTGTGGGTCCAATCCCTGGTCAAGGCGCGTGCAGGAGGCAACCGATCCATGTTTCTTTCTCATGTTGATGTTTCTCTCTCTCTTTCTCTCCCCCTTCCTCTAAAATCAATAGTTAATTAATCACAAGTTGACTGTATGTTCAGCTTTCAAAAGTCCACTTCCAGATGACCCACACAATCTTGTGTAGGCACAG